GAGCCATATTGGAATGGCTGGAGTCTAAGAATGACCACGAGCTACGCTCCTTTTTGGGGCTAGTTAACTATTATCCATGGTTTATCAGACGCTACTCAAAGAAGATGATGGCCTTGACTAGACTTCTTAAGAAGGAGGTAAAGTGGGAATGGATAGAATATTCTAAGGAGGCGTTTCAAAATTAAAGAAGGAAGTCACTAGCAAACTGTTGCTGTGCCTCCCTGACTTTGATTGGCCCTTCATGGTACAAACTGATGCTTCAAGCCACGTAATTAAGGGAGTCCTAATGTCGGAAGGACACACAGTCGCCTTTGAGAGCCGAAAGCTCAATGAGACCGAACAAAGATATGAAGTTCGAGCAATTGGCTCTCTACTCGAATTATTGTTGCGACCACGACTAGATGCTCAGTCTTACTACTCATGGCATCAGCTACACTGTTGGCTTTGCCTAGTTTATACTCTAAGACAAATCAAACTCTGCACAAATTCTTGCCAACGTGCCTGTTTGGGTGTCAAATACATTTGAGTGGTGAAATAGCTTGTGGCCACATTATCAATGTGGACCACAAACTTGCTTCCCAACGAAAAATGTCTCCATGCTCGCAAGCAGTGTACCACTGTCGCTATCTCTTTTTCATGGACTGAATATTTTTGTTTGGTTTTGTTAAGCTTTCAGACCTCCAAGGTGACTTGGTATCCTTCAGGCATCAAGACTCCCCCAATGGTATGTCTTAATGCATCAATTTGCACTTCGAAGGGCCACTCAAAGTTACGAAGGCGCAACACAACACTGGTTTGCTAGTAACTGCCCTCTTGGACGTTTGCTCTAGCACCAGCCTCCGATGCCGAACATGGTCATCAAGGTTGTGACTGTATAGAATGATATCATCCAAGTACACAACTAGGAACACTATACTCGCTATGTACAGTATCATTAGCCAACTAAAAGTTGTTGGAGCATTAGGCAACACAAATGACAACGGGGTTACACAAGCTGTTTTCTCTTCATCACCCTTTGCTATGCGGACCTGCCAGTAGCCCTAGTGCAAATCCAACTTGCTGAAGACCTTAGCCTTAGCCAGCCGGTCAAAGAGATAATTAATGAGGGGCAGTGCATAGTGATCCTTCACTGCCAGCTTGTTCAAGGCGCAGTAATCCACATACATTCGAAGGGATCCATCTTGCTTCCTTTGAAAAAGGATTGGGGCACCAACGGGGGACTTGGATGGCTGGATCATCCTTGCATCCAATAAGTCAACTAGCTGTTTCCACAGTTCAGCCAACTCTGATGGGGCCACTTATTGATGCGGACTTGGATTCCATTTTGTTATTTGTCTTTGCGAACAAGAGTTTGAATTTACCACACTGACATGGTTCTCTTATAAATGATGAAGTGGAAGTGGAAGTGGAAGAAGATCAACTCATATCCACGGAGGATGAGGATCTTGTCTAGGCATAAATCTTTTAAAGGAAGTCATGAAGGGGTGGTATATATTGATAGCTAAATATCAAATACAACTTACACTCACATTGTGGACTTTTGGGTCCTTAATGAATGAACACAATGTTTTGATTCAAAATGATCTTTTCCTAATACAAGGTCCTGGGAGAGAGAAACGAGCAGCTTGTGATTTATGAGATTTGCCAAAGATCAAGATTTGCCTTTTCCCCAATAAGTGCTTTTGAAGTTTTGCTAAAGAGTAGAAGGATACAATACTCAAGAATTACAGGATAGTATTCACCCAATTAGAGACATCTGTCAGAGCAAGAAAGGAGAACATGACTCAACTTTTGATTGTGTACTCTCTTGAATGGAAACTCAGTAATGCACTCTGGAGGGATCATTATAACTAGGAGTCATCAGCGAGCCGCATGGTGGATACCTCAGAAGGCATTTTTGGTTAAAGAAAGGTGGCTTTTGTAGAAGAAGGATATTACTGGCCAAGTCTCGAAGGAGATGTATTCATTAATTTGTCAATCGGCAAACTCAAAACATCTGAAAATGCACACCCCATAAGTATGGAACTGCTATTTGACTCTGACCTCCTCCCCATGAGGATCTGCTCAAGCATATGTAAATACATAAGCAAGTGCAGTATAAGCTCCAAGAACGTTATACCAATGCTAAGGAAGTTCAATGTTGGCAAGTGAGGAATGTGTTTTAGTTAAGTTTTACTCTCACTTGAAGTGCTCCCTAAGTGGAACCTATCAAAAGCTCAAGTTCAGGAGATTGGTCCGTGTGAGAAACTTGGAGATAACACTGACAAAATAAAAATATCGGAAGGGATTCATATTTCTGCTGCTGGTCGCGTATCCAATCTCTATGAGTTCCATGAGCAGGAATTGATCGAGAAATAATCCAATGGGGGGAACAATTTTTAAACACACCTAAAGACAATATTTGCCACATACCTTACATTCAGCCTAAGGACAGTCTACAACTGAAAATGGGTGGGTAATTTATAGAGCATTGTGGACCTTTCATTGGAGTCTTGCTTGGAGAAATATATAGGGCCCAACAAGTCGAAGTCAAGTTCTCCTTAACCAGGGGAAGATGATGCAGTGGACCACCCGAAATATTTCGGGCTTCTAGAGTATTAGAAAACCTTTTACGTATTATGAAATATGTTGCAACCTTCTATAAGACATTAGAAAATTCTAAAATATAATAGTCTTTGAGAGCATATTAGAGTGTTCTAGAATAGTGAAGAAATTCAAAACACATTAGTATATATTAGAGCTATCTAGAATAATTACAGTATCCTTGGATCTAAAGGGGAATCTTTTAAGAAGATTTTAGGTAGAATATGTTGGAGGAACACTCTAGAGAGTGAACATTCTCGTAAGAAATTTCTTGGAACAAGGGTTGAGGTTCAGCTCCTCCTGTATAAATAGTCATTTCTATCCTCTTGTAAGTAAGTGTTACTTCAAGAAATTCTCTTCTTGTTTTTGTTCTTAAATTTTCTTCAGATTCTTTCTTACTTGAGTGTAGGTGCATTACTCCTCAAGCTAGGGACACTCCTCGAGGGTCCTTCATCCAATGGCTGAAATGCTTTCTAGTGATGGGTATTTTGGCCATCTTTTCCCCTTCAAATTTCACACATAAAAGAGATGATTCTACCATTTTTTGATTTGATACTACATTTGAGACATGGAAGTTTGTTGTTTCTTACAAGTTTGTAGATCTTAAAACTCACACACAATGGCACTAAAACTTTAACAACTTGACATCAGTGATTCTTGGCCTTCAAACTCAATTTTGTTTATGGAAGCCATTCTTTTTCAAAGGTTAAAAAACCAATATATTACTCAAAACCCCTTATACCAGGTCTCCTTGAATTTTAGGCGGCCATTTAGGCAGCAGAAACCCTTCGCTGGCTAGTCACCATCTCACACTTTTCAGAACACGATCTCACACCTTTCAGAACACTGCCCCTAGTCGAATTGACAAGTTTCTCAGTCACAACTGACATGCTAGGTATGGAGCCCTTGTAGGTGACATGGAATGATGACAAAAACTTACATAATGATTCCCATTTTTAGCTTTGTAGACGAGGCTCTCCTAGGAACAGTGGTATGTAATGATGCAAAAATAGGGAAGTGTAATTTATTTAAGAGGTATTTTGGGAGGTGTAGAATCATCAATCAATTATGTTAGGCAATTTTGAATTTTTTTTTCAACCTTTTTATTTGAAAGGTAAGCTTTTATGAGTATGAGGATCGATTTTGTGGGAGTGGACGTAGGTCAGTGAATCAATAGGGATCCATGTGGGAAGTGCGAATGCAGTGTAGTGTTTTCTGTTACTGTTCAATTAAAAAAGTGTAATGATTTCTATTTTTCGAACATTTGATTACATATTCCTCACCATTTGAATGCTATAATACGACCTGGGCAACAGATTTGGGAGAAAGAATTGATTTGAGTTCTGCAATGCTGTAGGCCCATCAAAGTGGGCCTGTTGCACTGTGAGCTCTTCTGTTGCCTTAACTATACCAACCTGGTTAATATATAAATTAATTTCTGGGTTTATTTGTCAGCAATTTTCTTCTTTCTTCCATTTGTTTTATTAGGTTTATGACAATCTAATCTCTCACTCTCTATGCATACTCTTGTTTATAAAATTATCAATTTCTAGTGATCCTAATTGCCAATATCAATGTCCATTTCTAATAATTTGAGATAAACTGATTTCCATTTCAAATGATCTAAAATGCCCAATATCCCTTGACTGCCAAGCTATTTAGGTGATTCCTACTCTAAAAATTAGGAGCGAGAATGAGGATGAATATATATGCTAGTGCTCCAGCTACAACAGAGGGCTAGATTGCAACCAACAAGCAGTGTCACGCTCTAATCCTTGTTATGTAGAGTGTCATGTTCTAATTGGGAGTGTTTGTGTGCCAATGTTTATGAGTCTGTGGGCTGATGCGCCCATTGATATGTGCTTGTCCTTGTTTAAACATGCGTAAGTTTTCATTATACACACTCTTGCACATGTGGATCTTTGCATTGGCTTCATCCGCTGTATGAAAAGTGTATACTTCTAGCCAACATGTTGCAATCTCAGAGGATGATTGTCAAAGTTTCTGATTGGCCTATTTAGAAATACTTTATTGACGGTATGTTGTTTTTGATCAAGTCATTAGTTTTGAGGAAGAAAACTAGAATGATGTCTCTTCTGGTCATCATTTAGAAAGAGAAAACTTTAGATCTTTTTTCATCTTAGCATGCGTGCGCGTGTGTGTGTGTAGGAATGATGGAAGAATAGCATCAAAACAAAGTGGTATATTAACTTGGCTATGCCAATTGGTGTGATCAAATGTGTACATGATTGTTTGAAATTTTGAACACTTAGACCAAGTTAACATGGCATTACTGTGAACATTATTAAAAAGTTACTAGAGATTTTCAAGATTTCAGAGGGGAAAAAAGGTTCCTTGAGATTTTCTTTATATTACAGAATGAAATTAATCATATACGCTTCTTTTGTTTCGTGCAGGCTTGACTTTATGGGTGCTCTAGATTGGAAGAAAGTGGTTTTTGAACATGAATGGTGGCGCCTTTTTGCCTGCATTTGGCTGCATGCTGGAGTTGTTCATATAGTTGCTAATATGTTCAGCCTCCTATTTATTGGAGTTCGTCTTGAAGAAGAGTTTGGTTTTGGTAAGTTCAGATCATTCTCTTTATTCCAATGTTTTGAGGACACCTTCTTCATATCCTTAGTCTTAAGCTCAAGCAGTAAATGGAGATCTAAATACGAGTGGTTATCTGGGAAAATATTGCCATTTGTATAAAGTGTGAACTTTGGGAATGCCAACTTTTCAAATGCAAGCATTTAACATATTTTTTGTTGATAAAGTTAACATTGTATTACTGAGAAGTGATAAATGTGAGAGTCTGAGAACACCCACTTGGGGTGTCTCTAGGTAAAAAATGCATCAACCTGCCATGTACAAAAAATGGGCTTATAGGACCCGCTTGATTACAAAGATTTACTTGAAGCTTTCAAAAAATAAACCATATATAAAGTGTCTATGTTGTGTGCTTGTGGTCCAGAACAAAAAAAGGGTCTGACCGGGTGTGCTCTTCTACTTGGATTCTAGCTCCCTCTTTTGCCAAGAGATCTGTGAACTCGTTGGACGTCCTCCAAATATGCTTCCATGAGACGTCCATATCCTTGCAAATGTGAGCAATTTCGTAAAAAATTGAGGTTAGGTGCCACGGTGGAGAAGTCGTCCCACTTGCCTAAGAGAGACTATTTTGTGAATCTCCTTCCACTATCAGGTGTGAGCCCCAAGAATGGTTGAAGCTTTTTAGGCCCAGTAAAAGGGCCAAGGCTTTTGTGTAGCGGGAATCATTGAGGCTGAGATGCTCAGAATAGGTTAAGAGGATGTTACAATGATGGTCTCTAAAGACACCCCTAGCACCTGCCGGGCTAGGATTCCCAAGGGAACAACCGTCAAAATTCAGATTGATGCTACCTTCTGGTGGTGGTAGCCAGTTGTTAGGTCTTGAAGCCTGTCGCGATTGGTGGTGAATGATATTTTTCCATTGGCCGAGGAAAAGGTTCCTTGATATGCCCCAGAATACCTTATGATTAGAGGCCCAGAAGGTGGCCAAAGAAGTTACCTTGTGTAAGAGTGCTGAAATGTGGAGTTTAAGTCCTTGAAAAATTCTGGTATTTCTTTCCACCTAGATTATCCATATGGTTGCAACTATGGTAGCCTTCCATAAGGTTCTTTCAGCCGTCGGCCAATGTGTATCAAGATCACATGAAATCAAGGCCTTGATAGTAGGGGGGTGACCCATTGGATACCAAAGAGTTGCAACACTTGGCCCCAAAGTTTGTCGGTAAAGTTGCATAGGATGAAAAGGTGAGGGTTGGATTCCTCCTCACATTGGCACAAAGCACATATGTTGCGAATCAAGATCCCTTTCTTTTGGAGATGGTCCACTGTGAGAGCCCTTTGGGAGCAGGCAATCCAATTGAAAGTTTGAACCTTGGGTGGGGCGATGGTGGACCGGACTTTTGACAGTATTGAAGTGGGATTAACCTGAAAACTGCGGGCTGAGTAAGGCTCTTATAAAAAGAGGCTACCGTGAAGATACTTGCGGGGGCTAGTGTCCAGACTATAGCATCTCTTCCACGCGGTGGAATGAAGAGTGAGTGTAAAGCTGTCGAGAGCAACTGAAAGTGGTTGGTTTCCTCTTCTGTTAGGTTTCTTCGGATTGATGGGTTCCATACTCTTCGGCCTCCTGACAAAACAATTTCCTTTGCAATAGTAGAGTCTTTGAGACAAGTGTATAGAGGGTAGGAAATACTTCTCGCAGTGGGGAGGGTCCTAGCCATAAATCTGACAAAAAACTCACTCTAGAACCTTCTCTAAGATGAAATCTTATGAACCTTTTGAACTGAGAGAGAGAAGAGGTGAAAGATTTCCACGCTCCTGAGGCATTATGCGAATGTCTCCTTTCTGGCACTCAGGCTCCTTCCGGGATCCTATACTTATTCCGTAAGACCTGAGCCCAAAGAGAATTTGGCTGAGTGGCTAGTCGCCACCACCATTTCCCTAGGAGTGCCAAGTTGTGTTTTTTTAGGACCCGAATCCCTAATCCTCCCTGATCTTTAGGTAGGCAAATGTTGTCCCACGCAACTAGATGAAATTTGGCCTTTTCTACTTTCCCTGACCATAGGAAATTTCTCATGAGCTGGTCCAGACGATTTGCCACTTGAGCTGGCATATGAAAAAGGGACATGAGGTCAACAAGGAATTTGCCAAGGTGGCTTTAATCAGGGTTGTTCTACCTGCCATTGAGAGAAATCTACCCTTCCACCCTGTCAGACGTCTATCTACCTTGTCTAGGACTTGGGACCATTGTCTCTCTTTTGGTTTCCCCAGTTACAGTGGAAGACCTAGGTAGGTAGTAGGAAGGTCCTCTACTTTACACTCCCAATTTGGCATTTGTCATAGCAACTCCCATCATTTTAGATTTCTCCATGTTAACTGTAATCCCTGTTGCTACTTGAAAGCATTTAAGGAAGAGCTTGAGGGTGTCAACTTCGCTTCGTGAGGCATCAAGGAACACCAGGGTATCATCCGCATATTGCAGGTGAGACACTGTTGGGCCGTGCCTGCTGCTTCTGAAGTCGGACAGGAGTTCTGCCTGGTAAAGGTGGGAAATGGAACGACTAAACACTTCTGCAGAGATAGTAAACAGAAAGGGGGAGAGGGGTCTCCTTGGCAAAGTCCCCTCGAAGACGGGAAGAAGCCTTTTGGTGTTCCGTTGATGAGGATCGAAAAGTGAGGATGAGAGTAGCAGCCTCTCATTCACTTCCTCCAACGGTCTCGGAAACCTATTCTAGCCATAGACTCCTCCAAAATCAACTAGTCAACATGGTCATAGGCTTTTTCCCAGTCTATTTTGAAGATAAGGCTTGGTTTTTTAGCCAAGTGCCTCAAATGGATGCACTCGTGAGCCACAAGGGCCCCATCAAGGATCTGTCTGTCTTTGATGAGGGCAGTCTGAGCTGAAGAGGTGATGGAAGGGAGGACTTGTTAAAACCTAGAAGCCAGGACTTTAGCCAAGATTTTGTAGGAGGAGTTAAGTAGACTGATTGGGCGGAAATCCTTGATTTCCTCTGCCCCTTCAACTTTGGGGACAAGGACTAAGAAGGTGGCATTGATTGCTTTGTGGAGAGTTACCCCGAGGAAGAATTCCTCAAAAAAGTTGATGAAATCAAGATGTAAAGTATCCCATAAAGCTTTAAAAGTTGCAATTGGGAATCTGTCTGGTCCGGGGGCTTTGCCTTTGGCTAGGGTATCAATAGCTTGTAGAATTTCTTCTTCAGTGAAGTGTCGCTCTAGCCAGACAGCCCTGTCTTCGGGGAGGGTTAAGAAGTCAAGAGATGACATTCTTGGTCTCGGGCCAGATGGAGCTGTGTATAGAGTCTGAAAGAACTCTATGATTGCCTACTCGATTTCTTCTGGTTGAATTAAGTGGCGGTTGTTGGATTTGATCATTGAGATAATATTGTCTCTTCTACAACAATTAACTATTCGATGGAAGAAAGCAGTGTTATAGTCACCCGCTTTCAACCAGTTTATTCTTGATCTCTGGAACCAGTAGGCCTCTTCTTTTTTGAGGGTTGAGAGGTATTCCAATTTTGTCTTTGATCTGAGATCCAGCTCTTTGGCATCCATAGATCTAGATTCCTCGAGACGGTCAAGTTTTTTGATGGTTTCCAAGAGGGAAGATTTGATTTGGGAGAAGTTGCCGAGAATGGACCTACTCCATGTCTTGAGGGAGGCTTTGAGAAGCTGGATTGTGGTCTGGAATCTATAGCCTGCTCTACCCGTGACTTGGGATGAAAAAGAGTTCCACCATGTCAGGATGAGGGTAGGTAGGGACTCCTCGTGGAGCCAAACTAATTCAAATCTAAAGGGCTTTGGGCCCCTCCTTACTGTGAGAGTATTTAGGAGTATGGGGCAGTGGTCAAAGGTGGGTTTGGATAGGGTCAGAGCAAAGGATCCTGGAAAGTGTTCCTCCTAGTTCAAGAATAGAAGGAACCTGTCTAATTTAGAGAGGGAGGGGTTGGTAGCCTGGTTGGACCACATATATCAACTGCCTTGGAGAGGAATGTCTAAGAGTTCATTTCGACTGATAAAGTCAGAGAAATCCTTCATATCCTGAGAGATAGAGGTGGAGGAGTTCCTCTCATAGGACCATCTGATGACGTTAAAACCTCCTCCTAAGCACCAAATAGGGTGAGGCAGGGACGCTACATGTTCCAATTCAGACTAAAGCCTGAGTCTAAGGGAAGGTGAATTTGGGCCGTAGATGGCTATGAATTTCCAAGGGACACCGTCTGAGATACTTGAGAGGAGTACGGTCACAGAAAACTCCCCTATATGGGAGGAGTTTAGAGTGTGGTTTGAAGGGTTCCAGGCCACCTAGATGCCTCCTGATACCCCATTCGCTGGCAAAGAGACCCACTGGCAAGGTCTTCTGCCCCATACCTGGCGAACGAGTTGGAGATTGGGCTCTGGTTGTTTGGTTTCGAAAAGGGCAAGAACAACATGAAGGTGTTTAGATGTAAGGTCTTTGACAACATCCCTTTTGGACGACTGTCTCAGATCTCTTATATTCCACGTGAGCAACTTCATGGTTCAGGGGTGAGAGAGGAGGATGAGACCAGTCTAGGAGACCTCCTCGGACGGTTGGTGGTGGGAGAAGAGGGGAGGCTGTCAGCAGACTGTCCCTCATAGGAAATGGAGGAGAATAAGTAGCAAAGTTCTCTCTGGCCTTTGAATCTCACTTGCATTCTGCTCTCGCGTCAGCCGTAAGAAATTTGTGAGCCGGTCCTTCGGGGTTGTCATGATGGAACCCCATTATTTTATACATCTCTTTCATCCTGTCTTCGTCCCTGTTTGTCCCATGCCCATAGACCTCCTCAGCATTGTCAATGGCTGGGGAGGGAGAGATGGGTTCCCTGGGTGTCTTGGAGGACTCTATTTCGTATTCAGCCAAAAGTGGTGTTGGGTTGATGGGATAGAGATTGGGGGTAAAGAGGGGAGGGGCTCTAAGGAGGTTGCGGCAGGTACAGGAAGATGGTTGGTGCTAGGATGAACCGAAGGTGAAGGAGATGGGAGGGAGGGCGTTTCATCGAGAGACAGGAAGGTAGGCTCCAGGTTTGGGGTCGAAGGAGAAAAGGGCGAGGCAAGGGGTGGAGGGTAGAGAGGAAGAGGGGAAGGAGGAAAGGAAAGGAAAAGCATGGGATGGGGTTCTAAAAAAGAAAGAGGAGAGGTAGGTGAGGAAATGGTGGGTCTGGATGGAGGACAAGCAGGAAAACATCAATGGAGAAGAGGAGGGCATAGCAAATTGGAGAGTGGAAAACATTAATGGAGAAGAGGAGGTCATAGCAAATTGGAGAGTGCGAACCCTGTGGATGTGGACTAGGTGTGGGGTATAAGAAAGATGAGGGGCAAGCAAATAGGAGATAGAAGCATGGTCAAGGGGTGAGTGGTCCAAGGAATGAGCCGCAACAATGCTAAAGGGGAGTTGGTCTCTGTTCATTTCCGGTTGAAAGTTTGGTCGTCCGATTGCTTGTGCTTTTGGACTGGTTCAAGGATTTCTTCTAGGTTTAGAGGGAGGAAAGTCAGGAGGAAAGTCAGGGGGAAAGGGGTAGGAAAAGGTCGAGAAAGGGGCAAAGGAGGGGGGTTAACAAGGGTGTGGGTTGCAGGGCCAAGGGTAGGGAAAGGTCAGAAGTGGTGGAAATGGAGGAGGGAGGAAGCGATTCCTGTTCAAGGGAGTCGGGGGAGGGAAGGCAGCAGGGGAAGAGACAGTGCATGGATGGGTAGAGGGGGAAGACAGGTCGGTGGTACCTTTGCCGAGGGGGAGGAAAAAGGGGAAACGGGTGAGAAGAGCAAAGGTTTGGAGTGAGGAAGAGGGAGGCTAGGCCAGGTGTCGCCATCTTGGGAAGGGAGACCATGGGGTGACTCTTCGTGAGACGACACGTGAAAAGGGGTAGGTAGAAAAGGCGGCAAGGATCAACGGGTTTTGGCATGAGGGGAAGAGAGAGAATACGGCGGAGTGGGCGACATGGATCAAAGAGCTGTAGAGGGCGGCAGGTGGACAGGGAAGGCTGGTGAGGGTGACAGGTCTGTTGGCGCAATCAGGGACAGGTGTGCAAGGGGAGGCAGCCGGGGCAGGAGATGAAAAGGGGAAGCTGGCGAAGGCGGTAGATGGGCAGGGTGGGACGGCTGAAGAGAAAACGTGGAGGGCGGGGCAGAAAGGGGGCAGGGGGGAAATAATGAGGAGGGCTCGGGATTTGAGGCAGAGAGCGAGGAGGAAGGAAGATTCGAGAGAGACGGCTCGGGTCTATCGTGTAGGCCTGGAGAGAGAGGAGGGGGAGTAGAGTCCACCCGAGCGTCTTTCTCGGGTCGCCGAGAGAAGGGAGGAGAAACGACAGGGGATGGGCCGGTGGTATCATCTCCTATGGGTTACGGGTCAGAAGAGGGTGGCAGGATTGAAGGCTGCTTAGACGGCTCAGTGTTCCCACCCCTCTGCTTGGTTGAGTTGGGGAGATTGACACGTGGATGCCAAGAAATGGCCAGCTGTGGATGTTGTCCCTGGTGGCGCGCTTTTAGGTGGGCTGGGTCGGGAGGACGTCGACGACACCTCTTGCGGTGTCGAGCTCTGCTTGATACCAAGGACTAGGGTTGAGATGAGGTTTCCAGTGGAGGTGCAGAGCCAGCATGGTGGAGAAAATGGGGGGAAGAGGGAGAGGCAGACGACCACAAGATAGAGACTGGGAAGTAGAGATCATCTACTTCAAGCCAGACAGTTTGGGGGATCTGGCTAGTGTCCAGAACTTCCAAGAGCACTCGAATAGAACCTAGAGGGAGAGTCTAGAGGGAAATCGAATGAAAAGAACCGCAGGCTGCCGCCACTCACCGGAAAGCTTCAGGAAACCACCCATGAAGAGGGATGTGGTCTAGAGTTAGCCATACTCTTTGTTTCCTAAAGGAGCCTTCTTTAGGCGACCACGCCCGAAGAAGACAAGAGGCCCCTTTGAAAGTAAGGGTTTTGGCTTCCTGTAAGACATGTTGAGCATTGGCAGGAGACGGGAAAGAGAAAAGGATGTCGCCACTGGAAAGGCGTCTGCAGGTGAGGTTAGGCTCCCCCCAATGGCTTTGGGCCCATCTTTCAATCCCTCTAATGTCGTCACGTCTAGGTTGGAACCTTCCAACTACAGATGCCAATCGCAGTCTCCTCAGGAGGGGATGAAATGCAGAAAGGGAGGAAAGGGGAGCTGGCAATGGAACTGGAGTTTCCGCTTGGGGGCGAGGAGGGAGTAGGAAGAGAGGTGGTACCAGGGGGTGAAACGTTGCCGAAGAGGTAGGCTTGGAAGGGGGAGGAGGAGGAGGAAAGGCCAAGGACCGCGGAGGCCAGAGGTGGGTTTTAGGGTACAAATCGTAGATTTTGTTCCAGCTGAGGGGATGAAGAAGATGGCGGTCCTGCTGAGGGGGAGGCATTGAGATTTGTCTAACTTTTTCTGCAGCTCTGAGGCATTATTAGCTTTGGTGGTCTTCACTTCCCAAGCATTTAACATATTAAAAAAGTTATTTGTTCCTTCAACAGACTATGTTAGGTGGTTGTTCAAATCATGGCTATTTGCTGAATCCTATGTGATTGTTGTATTGGATGAATTTCATTTATTAAGCATAATAGCTGTATTTCATGATGTGACGCCTTGCTTACTGGTACATATCAGAGGTTTATTGAGCTAATTTCAAATGATCATGATTCTTACCTTAGAAACTTCTGTTTAATATCCTTAAAATGATCTTTTCTATTTTCTCATTCGACTAGATCTTTATGATAATTGCTCTCTAATGCCTGGTTCTTTCTTACCTTGTTTAAATTTTTTCAAATTAATCGAGTTCCTTATTTCTATAAGTTTGAAATGCTTGCTATTGTGTCTTCGTCCCTTCTGAGGTTATGATCTTTTGATTTCCAGTGAGAATTGGAGCACTGTATTTCCTTTCTGGCTTTGGCGGGAGCTTGTTATCCTGTCTCTCTTTCCAGCAAAATATATCAGTTGGTGCATCTGGTGCTCTTTTCGGATTACTAGGGGCCATGCTTTCTGAGCTCTTTACAAATTGGACAATATATGCAAACAAGGTCCACATGAACCTCTTACCTATTCCTATGAATGATATTTCTAGAAACACTTGAGAGAGAGAAAATTGTCAAGTTGCTTTTTTATCGAGATAGAAAAAAGAAATATTAGGTTTTTTATTCTGATGATATACTTGTATTCAGTGTGCAGCATTATTGACTCTTATGTTCATTATTACCATCAATCTAGCAGTTGGAATCGATCCACATATAGATAACTCTGCTCATATTGGAGGATTCATTTCGGGGTTTCTACTTGGATTTGTTCTTCTTATACGACCTCAGTTTGGGTGGATCAGTCGTAGATACATTCCTCCTGGATATGACATGGGGCATGTTAAACCGAAGTACAAAATGTATCAGTATATTTTGTGGGTTATTGCTTTCATCTTCCTGATGATGGGGTAAATTTTTTGAAATCATTTCAACTTTTGTGGTCGAATTGTTGAATTAGTATGTGAATCATTTTGATGCATAAATGTACTTGCTTAGCTGGTTTCTTACTAACTTTTAGACATGCTTTTGCATGCATGCACTGAGACCCAATCTTCTTGTAGTTACATTAATAATTGAGTATGTCTTCATATTCTGATGCATTTATATGCTTACTTCAGGATTAGATGTTTTTGTATCCCTTATGTGAATATTTTGAATTTGCAGCTACGTCGGTGGGTTGATCAAGCTTTATAGTGCACATCCACTGGACAATTGACCCTGTTCTATTAGAATGTCTTGTACTAACATACTCGTTTCAGGCTATCCTAGAATGCACATCAAGATGCTATGCATTGCAAGATGCATACTAGTCAATCTTCATGGTATGTGCATGCATGTGTGTGTGCATGCGCTCTTGCGCACGAGAGAGAGAGAGAGAGAGAGAGAGAGAGAGAGAGAGAGAGAGAGATATCTAA